AAAAATCTAACACAAGTGTCCTCCTACAAGAAGCCCGTCCCCATTCCCTCTCTCCAAAGCTGTCAAGGGGTCCCACAGTCACTTATTCACCTCTCTCAACCCCCGTTACAAAACGGTAACAGCAGCAGCCCCATGCAGGAGCTGGCCCTGACCGTCTGAATGTCCCACAGGTCCCACATGGGCCGGGGCATCACTCTTCACAGACAGACAGACAGACACTTGGGAAATGACATGTAGAGAGATGCCCCAAGTACAGTTGCACAGTACCTGCTTTGTGATCAAGGGCAGCTTTCAGTATCTTATCGCAGGGAGTCATGACTCCTAAATCGATAACTCTGAGGCACAGAAATGAGATGTGAGAAAACTGATGAGAACCCATTAGAGACAAAGCTGAAATGAACATTTTTATTGCAGCCGTTAAATACTGCTCTAACATAACTGGAATCACATTGAAATGCTAACTAAACATTGACAATCACCACTACAACTACCATTTATTAGGTACTTACTATATGCCAGGCACTATGCTAAGTTTTAAGCAGCTTTACTGAGATATAATTCACATGCCATATAATTTACCCATTTAAAGTATACAATTCAATGGTTTCTGGTATGTTTTATTCAACTATGGTAAAATATAAATAACATATAATTTTCCATTGTAACTATTCTTATGTATGCAATTCAGTGGCATTAATTAGTTACAAAGTTGTGTGGCCATCACCACTACTTATTTCCAAAACTATTTAATAGCTCCAGACAGAAACACTATAACCATTAAAGCAGTAACTCCCCCTTCCCCCTTGCTTCCCTCCCACTCTCCCCCAGCCCAGTCCCTGGTAACCTCTACTCTACTGTCTGTCTCAATGAATTTGCCTAATCTAGACATTTCATATAACTAGAATCATACAGTACTTGTCCTTTTGTGTCTTTCATTCTTTTTTTAAGGCTGAATAATACTCCATCGTATGGACATACCACATTTGTTTACCCATTTATCTGCTGATACTCACTTGGATTGCTTCCACTACACTATGCTCTATGCATAAACAATCTCATTAACCCGCATAGCAACTCAATGATGAAAATGCTACTGTGGGCCCCATTTTATGAGGAAGGGTCCAGAGAAGTTAAGCAACTTGTTCAGTCACGCAACTAATTAGCAGCAGAGTTGGGATGTGAATCAGGATCTGACACCAAAACCCATTCTCTTATCCATTCAGGCCAATAAAAAATGCCAGGAAAGTTCCTCAGCAAACATCTGTTGAATGTGGAAGCCCATGGGGAAGAGAATCAAAAGTAGGTAAGTTCCTACACATGAAGAGCCAATGACCGGGAAATCTGGTAACTTAAGTCAAGGAAGGGAAAGGCAGAATGACTCAGAGAGCAGGTCTCACAGAGAGATAGGTGAGGCTTGAAGGAAAAGCTNGAAAAAAAAAAAAAAAAAAAAAAAAAAAAAAATGCCAGGAAAGTTCCTCAGCAAACATCTGTTGAATGTGGAAGCCCATGGGGAAGAGAATCAAACTAGGTAAGTTCCTACACATGAAGAGCCAATGACCGGGAAATCTGGTAACTTAAGTCAAGGAAGGGAGAGGCAGAATGACTCAGAGAGCAGGTCTCACAGAGAGATAGGTGAGGCTTGAAGGAAAAGCTGACTGTGGGTGGCACACACCAGAGGCAATGCAGCAGGAACTAGGGTAGAGAAAGCCTGCAGCACGCCCTGAGAGGATGGAAGCAGCCAGAGGAATTTCAATTCACAGAGGATAGAGCTTCCTGGAGCTCAGAAGCAGCAGGAATGTCTGCCCAGGAAAATGTTCTGTGCACTGTTCTATTCTGATTTGGAGAGTACCTGCAATGTCAATCATTTTTACAATTTAATTTTATCACGAGTATTTGTCAAAAGTTGTTTAAATAATTATAGTATGCCTTTTCACTTATTTCATTATGCTAACAATTCTTAAAATTAAATAGGCAAAAATGTCTAAATTTAAAAAAAGAATGCTTAAGGACTACTACATGAC